ATCCTGGACTGCATAGTTTCTCCAGAAGTCCTTCTGGGAGTCCACAGAATCACAGTTGTCCTCATTTGCGAAGTTTTAAAAATAGTGTTTAGAAGACATGAATTTTATGAAATTTCATCTTTATCTCCCAGTGCAAGAGATTGTGTGTCTCTTGCTTAAGAAGAGCATAAGCCACTCCTCTGTGACATGCTAAGGATAGACATGGGGGAATGAATGCTACTTCATGTAAATTACAGGTGCTACTCAGTCTCGTACAGTGAAACATCCATTATTCCTCAAAGTATCAGTTTCTTCTACTTGTACATAATTTCAACCAATATATATCACTGTTTTTATTGCACATCTTGGGACTTCTCTCCATTTCTGCTTTATGTTTTAATGTTTAATCTGGGCAGGATCTTAAGGAATTATGATCACATGTTACTATGATGTTTCTTTCTTAAAAAATATAATTTTAGCTGAAACATTAACCTTAAGCATATTTTTATTTTGAATTTGCTTTCAAATTGTTTTCAGTTGGCTATTCATACAATACAAATAAATCATTCAATAAAATGTAAGGAATAATAGTAATTAAGACACAGTCTTTTTTCCCTTATTCTATATACATAATGCCTTGCTCATGTTTTTATATTCTGAAGTTTCTGAGAAAATAAGAACAAAAACAAAACTAGAAAAATGAAAAAGGATGTGAGAGAGTGTGTATACACACACACACATCCCTACATACATATTTTTTAATTATTTGAGTTGGGTGGGCAATGAAGTGGATACCGAGGTAGATACATTGAGCAACTAACTAAACGAGATGCAAAAGCTATCTTTCTGAAAACATGGACCAACTAGATTTTGATATTAGAGTTATTTATATTTGAGTTTGCTTTTGCTTGATATCTTGAGATTACCAAAAATTAATTACTTAGCACACCCATCATCTAACTATTCAATAAACATTGAGGCCTTCTCTATCTCAGAGACTGTTCAGGATTTCAAGATTCTGGTGATTCAAAGATGAGTAAGACATAGTTTATGCCTCAGGGAGCTCACTGTTTATTATGGGAAACAGATAAGTGAAAGACAATTAAAACACAGCAAGTAAGCATCTTCATAAACATGCTGATTTGATGCTCTTTGAGGTTATACTCGAAATAAATCTTAAAGGATGGATGGGAATTCAAAAGCTGTTCAAACCTGGAGAATACCTTCTAGAAGGAGAGGATGGTACTTGCAAATGTATGGAGAAATAAGAGTGGGTTGCTTAGAGGGAATAAGTGAGTGGGTAAGGCTGGAGCACTATGTGTATGTTCAGAAAATAATAAGAGTTGGGAGGGCTGTGGTGGGTGAAGCATGTGAAAAAGTAGACAGTAGACAAGCATTAGACTTCAAAGGCCTTGCAAACCACAGTAAGGAACTTGGGACTTTATCTTTTGAATTTTGGGGGAACAACGGAGTGACTTTAACCAGGGTAGAGGAATGATGAGATGCATGCTTTTGAATGAGCTGCATGGACTTCACACGGAAGGGAAAGAAAAAATGAAACTCAAAGCAATGAGACTAGTTGTAAGTCTTCTTTGATAATCCAGAGAAGAACTGCCAAGACTAGAAACTGACCTCCAAGTCTTAAATAGATCTGGAAAAATGTCACTTTACTAATGGAGCCTAACATCTCATTGATGACATTCATATGGGGAGCGATCAGGAAAAAATGTGGATTTTATTGTAATCCTAACACCTATACCAGCACACATATATAGAGATACCTGAAGGCAGCCTTCATCTTGTGACAATTGATGATATATTCATATAATAGCTTCCAAATGATGTTAGAGAAGAAAATTTAATGGCATGAAAAAGTAGTCATGAAATTATATTTGAAAATCATCTCAATGGAAACGTGTAAAGTATAATTCTATTTCCATTTGTATTTCCACATGAGGAGAGATTGTTTTTCAAGGATACCTCTAAAGAGAGAGATGAAATGGGGCTGTGGGGAAAAGCTTTACTTACGGCGTTCAAAATTTTTATAAGGATGTGTTCAGATAGGCATATATTTAAAAATAAATATTTTATATTTGAAGGGGATAAACGAGAAGACTAAAAATCTATATGACAAGAGTATTTATACTTGATAAGATATGGGTTGATTTTTATTTCTTCTTTTTGCTTTTCTTCTTAAACTTGTAACTGTGCATTTGTATTGCCTTGATTACACAAATAAATAATTGTAGATTATGAAACTTAGATTGTAACTCTTTGTGAAAGGATAAAATATAAACTATGTATTCAAGCACATAGCAATCTCTCATTTAGAATTAAACATTTGTGCTGAATTCCCTGCAAAAGACACTATAGAAAATAACTGCCTCCTGGAAAGTCTGTCTTTATTAGTGAGCTTCAAGCTGCTGCAGAGAAAATGGTATTGACTTACCATAAGAAGGAAGGCCATTGCAAATCACAGAGAAACAAAAAAATCAGAGTTAAAATTGCCATTGCTCATTCAAGAGCACCTATGGGCTCCACTCTCCCAGTCCCAGTAGAGCAGATTTCAGTTTAGGAGAGAGGCATCTACTTAATTTTGGAATCATTCACTTAGTCTCTCAATTCTGATTCTAGTCTTCACCAAACAACTAACTTTCTGATTATACTTTGGCTTTTGGTGTGAAATTCTCTTTAAGAAGAGCATGAGACTGGGTCCCCACCATCCTCCTACTTTGACTGCAAATGGAGGCCTGACAAAAGTCTCTGTTAGTTTTGCCAGTGTGTGTCTATCTTTGGGAGACTGAGGACCTCCAAAAGAGCAATTAAATTGAAACTTCCCGCCAGCTCTGTAAGGTGGTGCATTCACCCAGGTATATGTCCCAAAACTCCCTTTGGTGATCTGTCACCTTACTTTCCCCTGGTGAAACCTCCCTCCACTTGGGCTGGCTGCAGCCTCAAATGTGAATTGACAGTTAAAAAATTCTACAAAATTTTCTCCCACTCTGTAGGTTGCCTGTTCACTCTGATGATAGTTTATTTTGCTGTGCAGAAGCTCTTTAATTAGATCCCATTTGTCAATTTTAGCTTTTGTTGCCATTGCTTTTGGTGTTTTAGTCATGAAGTCTTTAACCATCATGACACATGTATACCTATGTAACAAACCTGGACATTCTGCACATGTATCCCAGAACTTAAAGCACAATTTAAAAAAAAATCTATAATTTCGCATCACCAATGACTTGTAGCCTACCTCTCAGAGTTTTAAAATATAACCTTTTATATGATAATTCAACATTAGAAGAGTATTTGTACTACTGTGAACCAGAAGCTCCATTAGTTTTTGAAACTAACCAAAGCTGACCGAGGTTTAATTGTATAGTTTGCTCTGGCTCAAAGTCTCTGCAGAGTATTTGTAAAGTATTGCACAAAGATGCATTAATATTGTTCTTTGCTAAAAATAATATCAAACAATACAAACAATAGGATATATGCATATACCTAGATGCAAGCACAAGTTAAAATATATCTCTAAATATGAATTGATCTTTATTATTCTATTTCAAAATAATGTGATGTTTTGCTCACAGCTAGCCAAGGTTTTAGAAGTGTCTCACTCATACAGAGATATGAATCACCCATTAACTATAGTGTGGGTGGATAGGATTCATAAATAGAGATAGTGACCTATATGGATTTGAATATAGGTCACTACCTATATATGGTATGACCTATATGGATTTGAATATTACTACATGATTCTAATCAAAACATTGTGCTGATATGGAGGAGCAGTGTTAGGTAGAGTTACAGAGAGAGGGGCTGGAGTCTTAGCCAGAGAACACCTTGAGCATCAAGCTGTCAATGCCAACAAGTTCAGTTTAGCTACTCTAAGCCCTGAGGAGCCACTGAAGGACTTGAGCAAGTTTGCATTTGTTCTAAGCACTACATTGCCCAGAAGGATGTGAAAGCAGTATGTAAGATCAATAGGAAATGAGCAGATACCAGATAGGGCAACATATTTGGCAACCATTATGATTTGTCCACTAGTTCTTAGATTCTAGGATAATACTTGACTAAATGTCCTCTTTGGACAGTCTGCAAAGAGAAATCTGAGATGCTAATTGAAAACAAACATTGCTGGGATTAGTAAATAAGCCTTTTTAGCTAAAGATCAGATGATTTGTTACATGCACAACCATTAGAGAGCCACTGATCCAGGTTAATGCAAGTTTTATGTAAGAAATATTTCTAGATAGTAAGATAGGTTCTTCAAAGAATGCCATATTAAACAGATGGAATTTTGAACTTAATTTTAGAGATATTTCTGGAATATAAGCCCCTCAAAAGCATGGATTTTTCTTTTGTTTTCTGATATGTCTTAAGTGCTTAGATCAATGACTGGAATATAGTTTGTGTTCAGCAAACATTTGTCCAGGGAATGCATAATGATTCAACGTTTGGGTTCTAGACTCATACAAGCTAAATTCCAGCTTACATAGGTTCTCTAAACCTTGGTGTACAAATTGGGGATATTAATGTCTACATCACAGATTTAATATAAAAATTTAATCACATAACTAATGGAAATCATTTAGCTTAGTGTCTAGCACAGAGCAAGTCCTCAGTCAATGAGACTTACTCCTTGTGTTGCTATTAATAATGTTTAGCACATCTGCAGTATTAGATATTAATGGTTTAAGGGAGTGACATACTGAATTGAAAGTTATTTATGTTTGGAGGTTAACACCTGTGTTAATAAAATAAACCCAGGTTTTTATGTTTTCTTGATCCTGCATTATCAGAGAACCGTGTGAGTTTGAGCATGCATAATGAAACGAACTTTTTTCTTCCTTTGTTCTTTTGATTCAGATAGTTAGGGTTTTATCATGGTTTGTTGGAAGGGTTGAGTTCAAAGAAAGAAGAAAATGATGAAAAAGGCAAACTATTCAACAAGTTGGTCTTCTGGGTTCTGTTATTCTGTCGAATGGCTTATCTTTCTTTTTTTTTCTTTTTGACTTCAGGTTGTATTTAAAAGGTCACACTGGGACAGCAGGAAAACAGAGCAGCCTGACCTTACACGGTGCTAATTTCAGCACTAAAGATGCTGATAACGACAACTGTATGTGCAAATGTGCCCTCATGTTAACAGGAGGTAAGTCCTATGGGGTCATTCTCTAAGCTATGTTTCATTGGTTTGGGCTTAGGGTTTTTATCTATGAGAAAGGAGTATGATCTTATGGTCAGGAAACTTAAGAGCAAGTCCTTAGAGATCATTTTGTCCTGCCCATGAATTTACCCTGTGTTCTTGTGTAAGACATTGCTGGCATATTTAGAGGTTTGTGCCCTCCCCCAACATCAATAGTGAAAATGTGCTAAGCTTAGTGCTGAATACAATTTTTAGTTTCTTAAGTCCCAGATATTCTACTTTCTAAATAATCATCTTGATACCCTTAGTGAAATGAATAATAATTTGAGAACTCAGCATATACAGGAATTACTTCTTACAAAATGCTTTGCAATTGTGTGGTAAGTTAATTGATCATTTTGTTGAAAGGAGATAAGAAAAATAAAGAGGTATAGTTAGCCAAAAGTAACGCAGTTCAGACCATCTATACCAGAGTTTGGCATTATGTAATATTGATCATTGCAAGATATTTTAGCTAGTATAGGGGATACCATTAAATAATATTGTATCATAGAGTAAGAAAGTTAATCCTTTTGTACATTTTCAATATTTTCCCAGCCTTCTGATTGCCCCACAGAGAAATTATCAGTTTGGTGCTATCATATCTGTAATACTCCTTCAGCGTTTACCAAGGACGCTTCTTGGCAAAGAAAAGGCCCTTATCCTTAGTCTCACAAACTTGGTGAGGCAATGATACATACCTAAAATTAAATAACGTTATTTCATTTTAATTGTATGAGTTTTTTTTATCTTCTTTCTTTCTTTCTTTCTTTCTTTTTTTTTTTTTTTTTGAGACAGAGCTTTTCTCTTGTTGCCCAGGCTAGAGTGCAATGATGCTGTCTTGGCTTATTGCAGTCTCCACCTCCTGGGTTCAAGCGATTCTCCTGCCTCAGCCTCCTGAGTAGCTGGGATTACAGGTGCTCACCACCAGTCCCAGCTAATTTTTGTATTTTTAGTAAAGACAGGGTTTCACCATGTTGGCCAGGCTGGTCTTGAATTCCTGACCTCAGGTGATCCCCCCACCTTGGCCTCATAAAGTGCTGGGATTACAGATGTGAGCCACAAGTGGTGCTGTTTTCCTCTTAAAGGAATGACATAAACTTGTATTTTAGAATACATTCACAATATTCTGTATTTAATAAATAATTGATTTAAAGAAAAAATAATTACATATTAATAAAAGTTATAAATGGATATGGTGAAACTGTGAAGTTGATATGACTGACTGAAGTTGGGGAAACCCTAAGATAAAACCAAATGGCAAATTATATCACTCAACAATTTTATAGGCTCTGGCAACAAAGGAGTCGGCATCAAACAAAACTGTATGATAAATTTCTGTTTCAGTGTTTCTTCTCTCACAATTTTAGTGTTGCTTCTCTCTCTTACTATAATAACGATCACTCCCACCTTCAATTGTTCTCATATATGTTCTGTCTTACTCTATAACAAAACATGTTTTCACATTTGTAAGAAAAAATTGTTCAAATCCAATATCTTCCTTTCCCAAACACTATATTACTACTATTATCATAACATATTATATGTTACTGCACATGTTGTAGTATCTTGAACTTCAGATCCACTCTGTGAGACAGCAGGGGGAGAAACTCATCTCTATATTGTACATGAGGGAAATGAACATCAGTTAATGTTTGCCATTTCATCCCAAACATCTAGCACAGCTGATTGTGACAGATAGAAACTCATTAGAAAATGTAGTACATGAATGAGTGAAGTAGTAGTGTACATGAATGAGTTTAGTATGTGAATGACCACCTTGTAACTCTTGAAATCACTTTCAAATTTTAAAACCAATGAAATAAATAATTAGTTTGAAATTATCTTCATCAACTAATAGAGCATGGAAAAGTATGGAGTGAAGGTTTTGGATAAATCTTTTTCTCTTCTTCCCTATACCCAACCCCCCCATTACTACTATCACCAAATCACAGCCCATTGACCCCCATCCATGCCACCTATGTTGACATCTTTTCAATATGATACCAGTCCCAATATTATCAAGACTAACCTATTGTGATTCCGCCTCTATCATATTCTTTCCCTTGAGCTTCGAACATGTCCTTTTGGTATCACATTTTACATCATTAAATATGAAAGTCTTCTATATGTAATTTTATGACTCCTCCCTCAGACCTCACCCCCCAAAATAGTTGCTACAAATCTAAGATTTTTTTAAAAAATAGTACACACAAGGTAGGTCTTGAACTTTTTCCTGAAAGAGAATTTTTCTTTTCATTACTTCCCTGATCTCATAAATGAAATTGTGAGCAACTCTATACAAAGACAAAGGGACTTTGATTTTTCAGTTTCCTGCCCATTTTCATATTGAAATATGCTTTATTTTATCTATGTCTATTTTTACAGATATTTTTATTACCAAATAAATACAATACATGAAAAATCAACAGTAAAATCTTTCCAATGTGTCCCTAGAAGAGCATTCCAATATGTTCATATTTCTGTCATAATAATGAAAATATGGAGTGAAGTAAAGAGGAGGATGCACATCTTGGTTGTCAATGAGAAAACTTCACTGCTCAGATTTATGATTTTATTTCTGCTTTAAATGATTGAACTTTGTCATGTTCTTTCATCCATAATCATTCTTGGACCCAATTCTTACTCACCAATAAACACATGTGTTTGGGAGAGAATATTTCCACTTATTGCTTGGACTGGAATAGTCTAAGTAAATCTGTTTTTGTAATAAATGCCATTACCCTATCAAATATCCCTTTGAAAGAATCCAGGTCTTGCAAAGCTATATATTATGGAAAGCTAAAATGTGGAATTTAGGTAGCTAAGAACTGGAGAACATAAGGATGAATGTCATTGACAGTCCAGGTAACTGGAGTATTGCCTGGAACTGAGGTCCTCCTTAGCTACTTCCCACCACTACTACTTATTTTCTGTCAAATTTTCCCTTAGAGTCATTTTCCTCATCTAATGGTTTTTCCTTTCTTTTTTTCCCCTAAACTTAGTATTTGAGCTTGTTGGCTATTTAAAATAGCCTCTCTTAAGCAGTGAGACTTCATATCCTTTGGAGCTAGTAAGTCATAAATCTTTGTCATTATCAATTAAAGCTTTGTTTTATCTTGTTTATTTATATATTTTTCCTTTGTTTCTTTTAAAAGGAATTAATAGTAAAATAAGATTTATTGCCCATGAACTGTCCTAGATAGTTTTTTCAAGTACATAGAGTGATTTCAGTTGGAAAATCTGGTATCATTACACTCGTCCGTCAAAGACTGAATGACAGAAAATAGGCTTAATTGAAAGCAGAAGGTATTTCAGCTAGACACCAGGTAGGACTTGATCCCTGTTCTCCTTTTTTTAACTTCCTTCTTTCTTAACTTTCTTCTATCAATTTAAGGCATTTCTAATGACTACTTATTAAGGGGTTAACTACTATTAAATAAATGAGCAAGACAGGCTAGAGCATAAGCTTCATTAAAATTTTAAAACAAATAGTTTTATCTACTATTTAACATTAAGAAAATGAAAATGTACTCTCATTTAATGCATATTTTTGGTACATATTTATTGTATAAGGAGATAAATATGCAAAAACTTCTGATTCCAAAATTAAGAAAATGACAATTTTTTTGCTAGATTGTTACATTCAAAACAAACTTACCTTCAGCTAAAAAAATCATCTTTGGTGCTAAATTAGGAGTTTTCCATATCGGCATTTCTAAAAGTTTGCTTAAGCTACAGTAAACTAAAATTATTAAAATTATAAAGAATTATTTCTAACAGTCTGTCATAAATTATAATTATTAACGGTTGCCAACAAAAAACAAATATGTTATTATTTTACATTCCTTACTTTACTTTCAATGTATTTTCCATATTTAGTACATAATATAAAAGCTATGTAAAAATGTGACCTAACCTTCTTTAGAAAGAATCTATTGAAGCAGAAACTCTGATTTCTTTTCCCAATGCATAAACCATGTCAACTGATAAACAAGACTTTCTAAAGCTAACAAAAGATATTTTTCAGTTCAGTCCTTAAAAAGAGGATAAAGCCATACACATAAATTTCTTAGTACATCCTAGAACTTTCCAGATGATAACAGTAGAGAGTTGATAAATGCTCACTTTGCCTGCTATATAAAGAAGACAAATAAAATGATAAAAGCAGTTTTTTCAACTGGTATGTGATCTCACAGTGATAAGATCTTTGGGAAAATATAATTGTCTTAGCATTTTTGAGAACCCAAGAAGGACATGCTAAGCATAATCAGATAACTAAAATTATCTAAGTTTCAAGGTAAAAATATTGAGAGAAAAGAAAATCCATATGGCTATCGTAAAATTGACTATAGAAATCTATATTGCATTCTTTTATTTCAACCCAATTTCTATATTTAGTACATAAAATGTAAGCCTATTTTACACAAATATAAGTTCCATGAATGTAGGGATTTTATGCTCTCCAGTGGCTGCCATAGCGTGTGGCATATAGCATAGGTTCAATAAATATTGGTTTAATGAGTAAATATGTTAGCAGAGACTCTGAAAGTACATTGCAAAATTATAAATGATTCTGGTGAAAAGTCAAAGAAAATGAATGTTAGTATAAATGTGACTCTTGCATGAACTTAGATTTAACATGCACAATTCATACATGTATTTGTATGTACAAATATGGAACAAAGAGGTGACTATAAAGGATTGAAACTAACTTTTAAGGATTACCAAACCCCAAAAGACTAAACTGCAGAATTGTAAAAATTTGAGTGTCAGGTTCCTGACTTTCAAATAAATTTGAGCTTTCTAAAATGCAAAGTTTAAGGTTATATTCCTATTTTCTTGGGCAAGGTTTTACTTATTAGAAAAAGAGCAAAGAGTATCAGAAAATGTCTTTTATAAGTTTGGAGAAAGGTGAATCGGAATTGATAGACCTCTTGCGCAAAGCTACAACCAAAGCTTAATAA